CCCCCCCCCCCCCCACAAAAAAAACCAATCCAAAAAAAAAAAGACACCCAAGAGCCCCAAAAGGATCCCGCCCCCCGAACTTTTTGGTCGACCTCCAGGCGTTTAAAGAGCTGCAGAAGGAGAACGCAGCGCTCAGGGACGAGGTCCGCAGCCTCGGCGCGCGCGTCGCGGCCCTGGAGGGTCTCAAGACGGAGGACGGGGAATACGGGGACCGGGGGCTTCTCTTTTAAGAAGGTCCCCTTTTTGGAGTTCAGGGTTTAGGGTTTAGGGTTTGAATGAAAGTTGCGGAACCAAGGAAAAAGGTATAGCGGAAGATGTAATAGGGACCTTTCCAGAATTATCCGTATTCTGAGCAAGAATCGGCAGGATGTTCCCAGCGAGCCGCTTCTGGGAGGGGAGGAGGAGGTGCCAGTTCAGATGGGCGAAAACGCTTGGAACATCTTGGCGGTGGTGGGGTTGACAGATGCTGGAATCTGGGATGTTTCCCTTTCCTTGCTGCTTTACCTTGGGAACATCATGATGCAGGCCACCTTCATCGGAATCCTGTTTGGCCACAGCTTCCTTGGCGATCCCTTCGAGAGCAACGTGGAAAACAGTCGCGTCTGGCGGAATAAGATCGCTCACTCCTACCAGTACGTGGACTTAGCGCAGACGAGTCTCGTGACTCGAGTTTGCGATGAAGACAGCTCCCTCATCCATGCCTCCTCGCAGGCAAAGTTGTTGTCCGACATAAACAACTACCTAGGACTGCAGAAGACCGCCTTCGAGGCCACCCTGGAGCAACCAGGCGTGACACTTTGCATGTTGTGCATGGCTCTATGGAGCCTCTGTGTCTTCATCGAGCTCCGCGACATCTGGCTGCACCTGCAGGCCATGATGCAGGTGCCCCGGGCAGAGCGCACCGAGTTGCGCAAGGGAACCTTCCTGAGCGTTTCTGTGAACCGGTTTAGACTCCTCCTCGCGTCTTCGCTCCTCCGCGCCGTGCTCGCGATCGCGCTTCTGGTGGCCGGCTTGCAGTGGCTCGGGGGCACCACGTCCATCGCCGACCTGATCCTGAATGCCGTCGCCCTGAATCTGGGTCCTTGTTGGCTACAATTTTACATTGTTGTTATAATAAATCCCCAATAAGGATTAAAAATGATCATTTTTTCATATAGCCCCAACCAGGGACCCAGGAATGCCATTCTGGACATCGATGACTTCGTCTTCCAGGCGGTGATGCCGACGAAGATTCAGCTGGCACTCCGAGGTCTGGAGCCGATACCTCTTCGCTACACGCCCCAAAGGAGCCAAGTGGAGTCTGCCTTTCAATTTCTGGGATTGGTCTTGATGCTCTTGATTCCCTATACCGTGCTCGTGGTCCCCTTGAGCTATCACATGCTTGAGGTTAAGAGGGAGATGTGCCTTGGCATCCAGAACTTCGTCGTGGCTTACAATTCCGATGTCGGCATGACCTACGGGCTCATGTCTCGTGGCGCCGGGGACGCCCACGACACCTTGGCCGAGCTGGCCGTTGAAAGCTACAAGTTCAAAATGGAGAGTCCCTGGAACCCAAAGAACGGAGCGGAACCGCCTGCGCCGAAATACATGCAGCTTAGTCTGGAAACTCAGCAATTCGAGTTTGGTCGCATCCGGAAGATGTCTGAGGAGGCGGAGTACTTCCCGGTATGTTGGGAGAAAGACATCAATCCAGACGACAAGTCAGACGCTTCTATATCCAGCTTGAGTGCCATTGCGCGCGGCCGCATGAACGCCGCAGCTTTCGATGTCAATAGCAAGGCCACCACCTGCAAGGAGCTGAAAGCGTCGTGCTATCTTCCGGAGGCACGAATGCTGCGGCTCATGTGCGGCCAGACATGTGGATGCACAGATGCGATGTCGTCTCCATGGTACAAAGTCCAAAGAGAGGGCTGCGCTGGGAGGTGTCTCGAAGAACGGACGATGCAGATTAGGGATCTGCCGTGCAAAGACTTTCCTGAAGCGGGTGCCGAAGACGGCTGGAATCATTTCTGGGATAACTTGGACGATATCTTTGCCGAGTTCTTCGGGCCGAACCGAATGCCCTACGACAAAAAAGACCTTGAAAAAATCGCATTGATCAAAGCCGGCGGCTGCCCAAAGCTGAAAGCGAATCCGATCGATAAACTAACAGGAGAGAGCCTCTGCGAGGGAATGGCCGAGTTGTTCGGCCCGCTCGCCTACCTCTGCCCGGTCACCTGTGGCTGCCAAAGTCTCACATCCGAGGATGCCTTGGCAGAGCATTGCCCAAAGAGCTGCCTTAAGCCGATTTGAGGCCGATTGGGACATGGAAAACGCGGCCTTGAGTGCGGTTTTTCCGCGAAAAGCGCCCTCACTCGGAAAGAAAGAGCTTTCTTTCGGACGCCTCCTCGCTCTGAGGACTTCTTTCGGGAGACATGGCCGCAGATGCAGGAGGCCCCAGTGCGAGAGGTCAAGCTACTGTTGAGTTACTGCCAGCGGTACGTACATGCGTGTATATATATATATA